GGGACAGAGAACCTCTAATAAGACTGCCACATAAGCTCATAACTTAACCAAGGTGAGTTGACTAATCTACCCTTATTCGGCTAACTCTAACAAAGGAGAAAGCCCAATCCCACAATGACCTCGCGAAGTGGCAAAACACCATTAGGTGAAAACCAGTCTCCCCATCTACTTTACACAGAACACACCACTGAGGTGACAAGCAAGTATTGGGTCTCTTCTTTTGGAGTAGATCACCARTGTTGATTCTTTCCAGATAGGCTTCCCAACAAAAACTACCAACCCTAGGAGGTATAGCTCTTCATCTCTTCCAGGCTTCTCTCCTTCTATTGGAAAATTCTGGCATTCCTTTCTTCCCACATGGACCAAATCAGCGCTGCTCTTGCACACCTCCACATAATTCTTCCTCTTCTATGCCGCCAAGGGAAGAAAGCAGAATCAAAGAACAAACTTGCATCTGCTGGCCTAACCAACCTGCACCCAAACAATGAGAAGAGCCACTCCCATAACTCTGCAGTAAATGAACAAGATATTAGTATATGGTTACAGTCTTCACCATGTGACCTGCAAAGAATACACCAGGAAGGTGAGAGACAGAGAAAAGGTCCTCTCTTTTGTAGAGTGTCAAAGGTGTTTAGTTTCCTATAATACACTTCCCAGCAAAAAGCCATAACCTTAGGGGGAACAGGCCTGCACCAGATTTCCTTAAAAGGGAAAGGCTGATTGGGGATAGACTGAGTAATGGATTTAAAGAAAGAAGCGCATGAAAAGGATCCATTCCGCTGGGGTGTCCAAATCCGAATATCAGGTTCAGAAGGGTCCAAACATATTGTATCAAGTAGACTTAGCAGATATGTGAGAGACACAATTTCCTCTTCCCTTAAACCTCTATGAAACCCAAAGTCCCAATTTGGTGTTAATGGGTCATTCATAATGGAAAAAAACTTTGACACAAAATGTTTTTTGTACCTTGAAACAGAGAACAAAGAAGGGAAAAGGTCCTTCAATGGAGCCTCTCCCACCCAAGTATCCTCCCAAAATAGGACCGAGTTACCATTGCAAACATCATACCTGACAAAACTGAGAACTTGAGGAAGAATGCCATGAATGGCTTTCCAAGGTGTTGCCAAGGTTGCCCGCCGTGATACTCTAGCATCCCATCCGTTTTCTGAGCGACTATGAATACTACTCACCACCTCATGCCAAAGTCTCTCTCTCTCCACTGGCCACCTCCATAGCCCACTTCCCCAGCAATGCTTTATTTTTTTTTAATCAAATTCCCTAACCCCAATCCCCCTTCCTCTTTATTTCAGCAAACCACCTCCCATTTTATCAAGTGATCCTTTTTACATTCCACCGGCTCCCAAAGAAAGTCTCTCATCAACTTCTCTAGCTTCTTAGCTTCCCTAGGTGGTATCCTAAACACTTACAGGAAATTGGTTGGTAAGTTAGCAAGTGTGGCTCTTATCAACATGATTCTACCCCCCAAGCTGAGTTTTTCTACCTTACTAAGAATATTATGTACTCTTTTCTTTTTTATCATTAATAAAATTTCTTAATCATTATTGATCGAAAAAAAGACCTGTAGGGCAAACTACATTGGCTAGTTCACATATTCGTTTGTCAGAAATGATGGTGGGACAGGGTTCATGTAGCCGATACCATATAGTTGGGGTTAAGGCTGATCTGAGTTAAGCTGAGTGTGGAATGCATCCTAAGCATGTATATTGAATACTTTTCATCATGATATACTCAAAATGGCAAAAAACAAAGGAAGAACCACATGGTATCAACTCATCAATGAAGCACAATTTGCTAAAAGTATGGCTAGTAATTTCATATACATCGACAAAAGGCTGCTGTTAAGTGAAATATATAGATAAAAAATGTAATGGCAATTACCTGTACAATCACTCACCACACAGAAATCTTTTGTAACCAATTTATACACAAACAAAACTACCTTACTTTTTATTCAAAAAAAAAAATGTAATGGCAATTATTGAAGCAATGTTATGCACTATGGCAAGTACTGCTGGACAAGGTGTCAGATAAAGCATTTAAACTAAAAATTGAAGTATCTGACATGATATGGCACCCTTGTACAGGTACCCAGGTATCATAGCATACAAGTAAGGTTGCCAATGGATAAGCACATATAAAATGCAACTTGCTACCAACAAAAAGTAGACAACACAATGAAAAAGTTTAATAAATGAAATATATATATATATATAAAATACATCACTGCCAGAATTGATATTATATTGGACAACATAGTAGTCCGAGTACTGTGACATGATATGGGAGGGAACTTAGTAATGACCAAAGTATATTTCTTTAAAATATTTGCTTGGAAAGCTGAAATCGACTCACTTGCTTGAGAATTGGTGCAGGTAGATAGCATATAAACTGACCATCAGGACGCCTTTCACAACGCTCTTGCTCATAAGAATCCAACTCAGAGTAGCATAACAAAGTAATCTCATTAGTTGTAGGAACAACTCCTTCTTTTAAGTATCTCCCTCCAAGGAGGGCATTAATAACAGTTGATTTACCAGAGTTAAATTCTCCCTGAAGCACCAAAAGAACCCATTAAGAAGAAAGAAACTAAATATTGAAAAATGGTTTAATCGCATTTTCAATTTTAAATTCTAAATATAAGCAGTAGATAGCGTCATCCTTTGACAATGACAAACAACTTTGAGAAATTGAATTCGCCAGCATAATTACAGGTGCAATAAAGTGTCACGATGTCAAGAATGAGCCTGTGTAAATTCAAAGTCACATCATGCCCAAACCAACAGGGGAAAAAGCAAGGGAAAATTATCAAAAAGGCATGATTTAAATTTATTAGCCTTCAATCTCAAGTAGTAGTAGGAATTTCATTCTTTGGAACATGGTTCCATTTTCTATAACCTTTTCTGGGCTTAGAAGCCATAACCCTTTAGATAGTTAGAGGATGGTGCTATGGTATTGATTGATAACACTAAATTTGGGCTAAATGCAAAGCTAGAACAATTGAGAGATGCTTTAGAATCAAATTATTTTAAGACAAGTTAAACCAAGACAGAATATATATCTTGCAATTTTAGTAGAAATGACAATAAAATTGGGAGTGCAACTAAGGTTAATAATCAGGAGATACCCCCAAACTAATCGTTTCTGTACCTTGGATCAATCACCCATAATGAGGAAGAAACTGAAGATATTAACCATAAAATTAGAGCAGGGTGGATAAAACGGAGGAATGCACCAATGCTATGTAATTGGCACATAAAAGGAAAATTTTATAAGATCGCTGCAGACCAGCAATTTTATATGGAACAGAGTTTCGGGTAATCAAGAAATAACAAGTCTAGGAAACGATGTGGACGGCAAGACAAAAAAGAGCAGAATTAGAATCAAGTGCATTCAAGGTAACTTAGAAGTAGCCTCAATAGGTGACAAGATGAAGGAAAGTCCATTGAGATGTTTTGGGCATTTGCACAGACAATAATGACTGCCCCGATGAGAAGAAATGACTTAGTGCATGTAAAAGGGTCAAAAAAACAAGGGGAAGACTAAAGAAAAGATTGGCTGGAGTGATAAAAAAAAAATGATTTTAAGTACTTATGGTTCAATGAAAGACATGGCTCTTGATAGTTGATAGAGCACAATGGCAGGATAGTATTCATGTAGCTGACCTGAAATAGTTGGGGCTAAGGCTGAGTTGAATCCAGTTAGTATGGGGGAACAGGAGGACAGTATTGATTAATACTAGATGATAACTAATGCCCTCCTTGTTGGAATTTTTGTGAAGTTCACATGGTTCTACCCACATTCATGTGGAACATCTTCATAAATCCCTCAAGCATAGTTGTCAAGGCAACGCCTAGGCGATTAGGTGGTTTTGAATGGATGACTTGCTCTACAGAGTGGGAGAATTTACAAAAGGTGTTTACCCAACTTCTTAAGTGCTCGCCTAGGCATCAAGGTGGGCATCTAGACCAACTAAAATGGCTGGGAGGACACTTGATAATATGTTTAATGTTTGTTTATTCAGTGGCTTACAGTATTAAGTTTTTTTTTTTTGATAATTCAAAAGTAAAAGTATGTTTAATTTTTTTTTTTATTCAGTGGCTTACAGTATTAAGTTGCAGTGTTGCACACGTAACATTGTATCATTTTTTATCTGTAACAGAAACTACATTAATATGTGAAGGAACTATATATTCCAGAGAGGAATGTAGGACAAAGGACATGTACAAACAGTTTGATGCTAACAAAAGAATTATATGCCTTAAAATTGATTTTGGTACTTATTCTTGATCAGTAAAGCACGAGCTCCACTCTTTCTTATCCTTATTCTTATTGTAATATCATATTTGGAATATTGATATTAATATATTTAAACATCTATGTTCTCACAAATATGATAATGTCCTACGTTCTGATAAGAAATCTGTAGTTACTCACTTATGTGATGAATACTACTGCTGATTGTTAATGTAGTTGATTGTTCGCTACCATACAAAATAGAAAATTAGCTTAGGATTTAGGGATTTTTTTATTTTCAAAGTCCACCGCTTAGGCAACTCCTATGCAGGCGCTCCCTTCTAACCTAGCTTCTCCCTGTTGCCTTTATAATATGCCTTCAAGTAGTTCTCAATTTGTTTTGTAAAGCAAGGTCAATTATAGAATGTGAACAAATCTCTTCTTATTCAACTTTATTATAAATATGGTCATAATACTAGCATGCATACATACATGACCATATATTTATGGATGACCTTGACATTATATCCCTAAACTCCCAGGACCCATCTTCTGAGGATATTACAAGTTTTGCCTCAAAACCATTGGAACGGAGTGCCTATTATCACTCTACCTCATACCTCCTTAGAATAGGAAGCAGCCAATTTTATATACTACAAGAATGGTTAGCATCAAATCTTATTGACAAACCATCTACTAGACGAAATAAATGGTATCACTTTTTCAGTTATTGTGTTGTTTTGTTGCTTTGCTGGTCTGATGTAAAATGGGTGAGTTTTGTTGGGGTGGTGTTGTGGAGGGAGTTACCCTCAACTCCTTGTTATGTGGGAGGATTTTTGTTATGGTATTATCCCTTTCTTTGGGGTGATATATTATTTTTGAGGAAAAGGTAATGTATTGTATTATATTCATTCAAAATAGAACATGTACAGCATTTCCTTTACAAGAATATGTTCAATCAGCACCTGTCCTGCCAGCCTTGCAAAAACAACATAGCAGGACCCAAATAACTTTGATGGGCTAAGCTTGTAAATTGCTCTGTTGCAGCCAACCAAGAATGAATGGAGCCCATTATCTTTCTAATTAGATCTTCCACCGAGCTGCTCCTGTTCTGAAATATTCTCTGATTCCTCTCCTTCCAGTGCACCATGACATTGCAGCTGGAATAGTGCTCCACAGTTTTCTTCCTCTTTCATTTAATCCTTTCAATTCCCAGGAGTGTAAATGTTCTGATAAGCTTTCTGGCATGCACCAGGATATATTCAGCAAACTACATTCCTACCCAAAAAAAAAAAACTACAGAAATATAAATAAATCTGGGCCACCACTTTTCAGTGCAGGAATAAATGTTTTGAAGTTTCTTTGTCTCTTCCACAAAGTACACAAGTCTCTGATTGAATGTTGATACCTCTTCTTAACAAATTGTCTCTGGTTCGGCATCTATCCAATACTACCGCCCACATTAAGAAAGCCACTTCGGAAGGGATATGAGAAAGACAAACTTCTTTATGGGAGAAATTAGTGTTGTGACCAACTGTCAGCTGCCTGTACAATGACTTGACCGAGAAAATTCCTTATTTCTCCCATTTCCAGCTCCTTGAATCCTCTTGTTCTGGTTTTGGGTGAAATCTGTTGAGCAGGTTGGATAGAGAAACCATCTCCTCTATTTCCCAGTCATTCAAACTTCTTCTGAAAGTTAGGCTCCAGGAGACCACCCCTTCCTGCAAATCATAAGAATCAATAACTCTAGCTTCCTTATTCTCTGCAAGTAAATGGAAGGAAACCTGTCCATCAGGACACGATTTTCACACGATACATCTTTCCAAAATTTGATCTTGTCCCCCTTCCCCACTTTCAGCTGAATGCCTTGAAAAAAGTTATTATTAAATTTTTCAAACCCTCTTCGGATTGATCAACCATAAGGACCCTCTATAATACTTGGGTCCCAGTTGAAATTCCTGGCTCCAAACTTTTCTGCAATTATCCATCTCCAAAGTAGTTGTGGTTGAGAATTAAATCTCCAAAACAATTTTTCAATTAGAGCTGCATTCATTTACTTCATTTTCTTTACCCCTAAACCCCCTTTTGATTCAGGTAAGCAAACTTAATCCCACTGAACCAGGTTGAATTATATTTTTCTCCTGCCACCCTTTCCAAAGAAAATCACTATTGGGTGATATATTATCACCTAGCTCCGTACCTTCTTTCTTTTTTTTCTTTTAATGAATTCTTCTTTACTACCAAAAAAAAATACTATTTTGGTTTATAATGGCCTATTTGGTGATGCAGATGCAACCATGGCTGAGGTGGTTGCCCTTCTCACTAGCTCTAGGATAGCCAAGAATATACAGCTTCCTTTTCTGATGATTCTGAGTGACTCAGAAAATGCTATTTTGTGGGCCAATTGGTCTGGCTTGGCCCATCAGAGGTTAGCACAATATCCAAATGGAACTAATGATACTTCAAAACCATTCCCTACTATATTGTGGTAGATCCCTAGCTATGGATGGGCAAAATATCTAGAAGGAATTAGTGATATTTCGAAATCCTTCCCTACTATATTGTAGCAGATCCCTAGCTATGAATGACATGAAAAGGGCCTTTTTGTACGGTGACAGCTCCATGTCTTTACAATTTTTTTTCTTTGAGGATGGGACTGCAATGATATGTTTTGGATACTCATGGACTCTTTTTTTACTACAGAAATGCTATTTACTTTATTCAAAAAATAATAGTGGGTTTTAGGCAAGGTCCATGTTTCTAAACATTTAAAATCTTTTTTTATTTGTCTTTTAGAAAAGATGTTTTCACTTCCCAAAATCTTTTGGATATGCTCTCTGTATAAGATATTAAGCATTTGCATTATTATATATCAATGTCTATACATAATGGACTCCATAGTCTACAACTTTTTTTTCAATAAACAAGGAGAGATTGTACTAAAGGACAAAAAGGGCAAATGGTGGAAAAGTGTCAAAAATGTTGTACAAAGGACCACAGACAACCTGTACAATCAATGGGAGTTATAAAAAATAATTGTCCAATAACAGTGAGTATGAAAAATAGTTTAATCCCTCAAGATCCTTAAAAGTGGATCAACAGGAAAAAAAATCTTTTTCTTTTCAAACATAGAACCCACAGGCCTCTTCCAAAACTAAGAAATTCTGTTATTTCTCCCCTTCCATAAGAAACATCAAATAGAAAATGATTCCATAGAATTTGACCCCATTGAGTTCCAGGCTCTATAGCATATGATGATCAGAATTAAATGAGAAATGACCATAGCTCGCTATTTGCTTAACGGGACAGCTATGCATAATTTTTGCAGAAGCAAAGATAAAGAACAATAGGAACATAAATTTACAATATATTGCCTTCAATAGTTTTTCACATCAAAAGACATGAGACCATTGACAACAAAAAAACGAAAATTCCCTTGCAGTACAAAGGTCACTTTTATACTAAAGCATGAAAAAAAGAATTAATAAAGAAATTGTTTGAAATTAAGAGCTAATACCAATGTATATCCGTTGAACCAGAGTTTGTTGAAGGTCAACACACAATTACCACTATAACCAGCAAGAATGGCTCATCAAGTTGACAAAATGCATCGGCAAGAAGTGAGACCTCCTCCATCTGTAATTCAAGGGAAATGGGAGAGTGTTCAGAGTCGACTGCATAAGGAATCAATTGATAGAATACTAGGTATCATTTGAAGAGAAACTCTAACTACCAAATTTAGAATTAAAAGATCACCAGTGGTGCAGCTTTGCGAATGGTAGCAATTGCCTCTTTTAAAACCACTCTCTCTGTTTCTATGAATTGTTTCTCTCTATCTTCCAATTTAAAAAAGCCAGCATATCCTTCTTTCCCAGTTAAGTCCTTGGTAAAGTCTGCCTTTTCTGGTGTATTGGAACTCCGAGGTTCATCCTGTGTTCTTTTATTGATTACATTTATAGAATTAAACAGTTTGCTCAGAACATCACCACTAAACATCTTCATATCTTCCAATGAAATAACTAACCCACTACCACCTGATTTGAGTAATTTTGATGCTTCTTCTGTAAATGGTGGTTCCCATCCCAGCAAAGCAGATGAGGTGAAAACAGGTATCTTGACATTCTGGAATACAGGATTGACCAGTACCTCATCATATATTTCTTTACCGGTATCATATATAAGAAAATCAGCACCTTCAAAGCTGGAAGCACTTAAAGCAGTATTTGCAGTTTGTACATTTCTTGCAACTAAAGGGAGAACAACAGAGTCAGATTTGGATTGCATCATCATATTCCTTGCAACAATAGCAGGAAGACCTGTAAAAGAAAAGGAAATGCATTACCATAGCATTATAGAATGTTCTGCAAACTCTTTTACATGCATATTAAGTATTTCTTCATATCTGATAATCAACAAATTCGACTCTGCATTGTTCAAAAAATTCTAGGTCTTCTTGATAATTTACACAGGCACGAATTCCATTTCTGATAGGTCCAAAAAATCCAAATAAATCTACATTTGGATGGATTACACAAGTAGGCTTCGGAAGATCAACTATGTAAATATGATATCAAGAACAGGTCACTGAATTCCTGGATTAAGGTTAACCGTTGAATAGATTTTCCTATAATGATGAAATATATTATTCAGTTACTTTTCCATATATAAGAACAGATACAGTCAATAAAGCAGTTTACAGGATAGTGAGATGGTCAAGTGGCCTGGATGGTCAGGTAGAGGACAACTAGATACGTGTTGGACCAGCCTCTGGATTAGCCATTAAACAAAAATCAAACAGCTCCGTCAACCATAGCCATCTAGTACTGTAACCCTGACTATGTCGATTTTTGGATGGTTAAAATACATCCCAGTAAAGGTTTTTATATCATGGATAGGATCATCTGGATAGTAACTTTTAGTTTGTCGGCACTATAAGAGGTTTCCAAGCATTTGAACTATCCATATTAGCAAAACATTGCCTATGACCCTGAGGGTCATTGCTTTTTTTTTATCAATAACAGTAAATTTTATTAATAATTGAGAACTTAGGAAGGGGTCATTGCTTAATTAATAAGAGCAGAACAAATATGGGTTGTGAATTTCTTTCTTAATCTTAAGAATACAGTAATGAATAACATTTTCCATGAAGTGTAATATATGAAAGAGTATTTAACCTTGATCAGAGAGCAGAACACCGCTGGCACTAACAGCAGCTGCAATATCAACCCGCTCGGCAATAAGCAGATAAGCGCGATCTCTAATTACTGACTTCAACAAGCGCGCTGCCTCATACAACCGCCCACCACTTCCATCTGCGTCATTGAGCACAACAATTCCAACCCACTTAGAGACGGCTGCATCAATAGAATCAAGAACGCCTTCCCTCCTCAACACCTCATCAGATTTCAATTGCAGCACCACCGTAGGCACCTTGATCTCGGGTCGTTTAAACCCGCCAGGAAACAAAGTTCTAGGCTGTTGTTGTTGTTGTTGCTGTTGCTGCTGCTCTAGATAATTCGAGTCAAATGAGTTCGTGCCGACCACATTAACTGGTAATCTAATTCGGCATTTCCGAGAGTTAAGCATAGATGCTCGACCATGGCAGAGAGATCTGGAGATGTTGGTTTTACAAAGGAGAGGAAATTTGGGGAGGTGAATGCAGGTCGGAAGTACCGAAACCATGGACAGAAGGACAAAGATCACAAGGCTGGAAGATCTAATAGTTAAGCTATTGCAGCACACTAGAAGTAAGGAAAGTGCATGAGAGAGAGATGGTAGGAACCTTATCTGCTTCCCTCTGCGTCGCTGCGTTTTCTTTGGTTCAAGAGAGTTTTGAGAAATTATGGATATGCGAGTTGCGACCATGGAGCCCGCCTTCTCTTTCCATTCTTAGCTTATTAGGTGTTATACACGTATCTCCCTGCTTCGGTCTCTTCTACGTACGGCTGTCAATGGGCCCGGTTCTACCCGACCGACCGAACTGAATACATCGGTTCTGGTTATGTGATTTTGTTCCGATAAATAATTGGGTTGAGCCTGCTTCCCGAACTAATTCAGACCCGAACACATTATTTTGTTGGTTTTTCTTGTAACTTATATTAACTATACAAAATTGGATTGGATAGGATCAATTTTACTGTCACTTTTATTAAGATTATATTATCAAAAATTGGGATTTAAGTTGTTATTTACATAAATAGTTATAGATATCAATATAATCAGGTTAGACCAGATTATTCCGATTATTAATCTTCTAAGTGATGACCCATCCTTATTTGATTCATCATCCAACAAGAAGATATCACATGTTTGTCCATCAGATTTGTATTGGAATTTTGAATCAGAAAAAACAAAAAAAGAAAAAGAATTTGTCTAAAAGTCACTATGAGTTTTCAACATTTCTCTTAAACTCATCATAATTTTTTAAAATCTCTAAAACTCACCATGTCAATAAGATTTTATTTTCCAAAACTTACCTTCCTTTAGTGCACCATTAATGCTTCTTAACACAGGTGTCCATGTCAGCATAAATAATAATTTTCATGGCCAAATTACCCTTGAACAGTGAGAGAGGAAAAATGGTCTTTTTCGGTTTTCAATTTTCTTTTTTTTTCACATTTTTAGTGTTTTGTTATAATTTCCAATATTTTTTATAATTTCTGTTTTGTGCATTTTTCTATTTTCTACAATCTATAAATTTTCCTGTGTTTTTGTTATTTATTTGCAATTTCTGTGTTTTTTCTATAATTTTTGGTGTTTTTTCTACAATTTTTATTTTTTGATTTTGTTTTTCAATTTCTATAGTTTCTATAATTTGAAAATTAATTTTTTATTTTGTTTGCAATTTCTATAATTTCTATATTTTTTGTAATTTCTATGTTTTTTATTTTGTATATATTTTATATTTTTCTATGAAGGTTAAAATGGTAATATATTAACACCCATTAGTCTGTTTAACATCAAGTTAGTGACATGGTGAGTTTTAAACATTTTGAAAAGTTGTGGTGAGTTTAAGAGAAACATTGGAAACTCATGTTGAGTTTTAGACAATTTCCCAATTAAAAAAAAAAAAAAAGATTTGTATTGGATTCAAGCCACGTTTGGAGTGCTTAAAAATAGGTGCTTATTTGGGTGGGTATCACACCATTAAACACTTATTGGTGTTTGGGAAATAAGTTTGAAATAAGTGGTTATTTTAAAAATAATGACTTATCTTTTAAGCCCAAATTTCCAGCTTTTTTAAGTGTTCATACAATAAGCACTTATTCAATTTTTTCTCCCATAATTGTCCCTAGTGAATTTTTAGAATACCAATTATACCCTTTTACAAAAAATAATTTTACAAATGCACTTTGGTAAAAGTAAATTTATGAAAGTACTTTTATGAAAGCACTTTTGTAAAAGAACTTCACTTTTATAAAAGTACTTTTATGGAAGTACTTTTATGAAAGCACTTTTATAACAATACTTTTATGGAAACGATTTTATAAAAGTATTTTACAGAAGTACTTTTTGAAAGCACTGTAAAAAGTACTTTTATAAAAGCACTTCTATCAAAGTACTTTTATTCATTCACTTTGGATTGGATATTTTGAAATTTTGAAAGAAAATGAAGGACAAAAAGGTCACAATTGCTTATTTAAGTGCTTATTGGAGAAAAAGATCGCCAAACACCCGATATAAAATAAGTGCTTATTTTTTAAAATAAGCACTTGAAAAAGGATGCCAAATGCAAATAAGTGGTTATTTGAATAAGCACTTGTTTTTAAGCATCTATTTTTAAGATAAGAACTCCCAAACATGGCCTAAGTGCTCATACAATAAGCACTTATTCAAATTTGTTCTCCCATAATTGTCCCCAATAAATTTTTAGAATATCAATTATGCTCTTTTACAAAGGCACGTTTATAAAAGTAATTTTATGAAAAGTACTTTTATGAAAGTATTTTTATGAAAGCGCTTTTATGTGTGTACTCTTATGAAAGCACTTTTAGGAAAGTATTTTTACATGAAAGCACTTACAAAGCACTTTTATGAAAGTACTTTTATAATGTACTTTTATGAAAGTACTTTTATAAGAGAATTTTTACAAGAGTACTTTTATAAAAGTTCTTTTACAAAAGCACGTTTATAAAATTACTTTATGGAAATACTTTTATAAAAGTACTTTTACAAAAACACTTTAATAAAATAATTTTTATGAATGTACTTTTATACAAGCACTTTTACAAAAACACTTATAAAAGTATTTTTGCAAAAGTACTTTTATCAAAGTACTTTTATGAAAGCACTTCTATAAAAGTACTTTTACAAAAGCACTTCTATCAAAGTACTTTTATTCATTCACTTTGGATTAAATATTTTAAAATTTTGAAAGAAAATGGAGGACAAAAGAGTCACAATTGCTTATTGGAAAAAAGACAACCAACGCCCAATATGAAATAAGTACTTATTTTTTAAAATAAGCACTTCAAAAAGTCAGGTGTCAAATGCAAATAAGTGCTTATTCGAATAAACGCTTGTTTTTAAGCACTTATTTTTAACATAAGCACTCCCAAACATGGCCTTAATATCGAATTCAGGCTGCAATTTGACATTAAATAATGTAAATACTAAAATGATTACTGATGTAGCGCGATCTAACTACTCCCAGCTGGAGGATGATCTGGCTTCCAATCGAGCAGCGAGCTAGATGAATCTGCAAGACAGTGGATTAGAGAACCCGGGGTGGCTAACCCAGCGAAGTCGCTCCGATGCTTAAGTTAGTGTACTGTGGTGCGAGCTGAAAGCTTTGAGAGTTTGAGAGCTAAAGAGCTAGAGAGTAGAGAAATCACGCGTACCTGGGCCCTGGAGGGGTTGTTGCTCTTATATAGTTGAGCTATCGCGGGTTTTGCGGATCGGTTCTGGGATCTTCATCCTGAGGGGATCCGTTTCCGCTTTAATTGGGGAGTAACGTATCAATTAATAAAGTTTATCAATTCCGCCCAATCCGGGCAGGGATAAGATTAGGTCTGTCGTTACGCGGCGTGATCCTGTGAGGCTCGGAGTCTACTAGAGAAACTTCCGGAGTTGTTACGTGGCGGTTCGGGTTGGTAGCCCCGAACTGATACTTCGGTTCTTAGTTCCAAATTGGACTGAATGCTGAGGCGCCCCGACGTCGAAATGACTCTATGCCGAGGTGACCGAACACCCGAGTTCAAATATTGCGAACTAGGCTTGCTAGGCTGAGCTGTCATCCCTTAGTCAGGTCGTGTCCATGTGTCCCCTTCTCGCTAAGTCGTGCCAAATCACCCTTCATCAATTACTATATTGTGTTGTTAATAAAATTAACTAAAAATGATTTTAATATTGTATTTATTTTGTTCATGAAATTAAAAGATATGTCAATTTAATAAAAAACACAATATTCAAATTAATTTTAGAGCACAGGTCTCCTCTTATAGCATATTGTGTGTAACTTGCTTAATCAATCACAAATGGATATTAATTATTAAACCAAACACAACCTAAATCTATCTCTATATATATAGCAAGGCAGTCCACGTCACTTTGCTTCTCCTTGCTCCATTACCCCTGACCCTGCATTCTCCTTGGCTCTCTCTCCTCCCCCTTCCCACCACTTCCAATTCGCCATCTCAGCACCCTCTCTCTTCATTCCTCTCCCTTCCCATTGGGTTATTTCTCTCCCCCCACAACTCATGTCTCCCTCTTTCTATAACAACCTAAGTTCTCTCCTTAATTAGCTCAATATACATTTTATCATCTCCTTCACTTCTATCTCTAATTCATCTATATTCTCTCCACTATCTCATAAAAGTAGGGCCATAATTTATTAAGATTTGGTTTTCTAAATCAAACAATATTTATATCTATAGACGTAATTTCAAGGAAAGAGTGGGGAATATGGGGAATTTGATGTTTCCTATATATTCATGGCATTTTCCATTATTGTTAAATAAACTATTCTTAAATAATAATCCATTAGTTATGGAAAATATTCCACCAAAAATTATAAAATAATTATTTCAGAAATAATCCATTATTTAACAAATATTAAATAATTTAATAATCTACCAAAAAATAATAAACAATCCATTATTTAATAACTTTTGGTTATTAATAAATGTTCGGAATTTCAACGTTTAGTGTAATTTACATTAATCGTTGTAATTTAATAAATTTTCATTAAAAATTTACAATAATAATTTATTGATAAAAGATATTACTAATTAACGTAATTTACTATTTTTTATAAAATCAATAATTATAGTTATCAATTATCAAATAATTTAGGGAAACTCTTTAACTACTAATCCATAATCAATTTTTTCAAATAAGTAATTACAAATTAAGAAATTAATCTATGAAAAAAATATTCTCCATAACTATTTAAATAATAATCCATTATTATTATTTTAAATAACAATCCATTATCATTATTATTTTAATAAATAATTATTAAATAATTTAGGGAAATTATTAAGTCTATCCACACCGGTCTAGACCACTTAGTTGACTTCGACCATACATGGTTTTACATTAATTAACAACAAATGGCTTACTTTTATTTAAAAACAATGGAATTTACCGTAATTACATTAATTTACTATAATTACATTTACTTTGATTAATAGTAAATAATTTAGGCTTAAAAGTAAATAATTTATGTTAATTTATTGTTATTATAAATAGTTAATTTACTATACATTACTATTAATCAATAGCAATTTCAATAATTTTGTTGGAAATTATCATAAAATATTGTAATTTATTGTTAGTTAATTAGTTATAAAAAATTATTAGAATTATGGATGGCAATTTTCCCCATAAAACTAGGGCCCTACCCCACCCGCCCAAACAAGGCAAGTTTTCTCAAATCTTAAACGGGGATGGGCATAAATGGGATGGAGACAAGGAAAATATTTTTGCCTAAGTTTATAAAACAACCATAAATTAGGGATATATGGTTTGAAAATAATTCCCCGAACCCAGTGGTAAATTAGTAAAATATCCGTAGATTTAATAATGGTTTTAAAGTATCTCTAAGTTTTTCTCATGTTCTTATAATCCTAGGATCCCATAATTTCATTTATAAAATAC